AGGGAGGAGTAGGATAAGGATTAGTAAACTGAGACTGAAATGAACAGTGCCAGTGAGTGATAAGAGTAAGGCCTGTGAGGCTGTTATGCCTTCTGGCCTTGCCAACAATAATTTGATTGTTGAAGACAGTAAGTAATCAGGGCTTGGTATTAGAGTTAAAGTGGCCAGTAATATAGGAAAAGTAGTTTGATTGAGGTAGATTAAAATGATCATATAATGTATGTTGATAGGAATGACTTGTAGTAATATTCTCAAGAGTAGTAAACCATTGAGGTATAACACCTTTAGTGAATTAGATAATAATTTCATCTATAGTCTGAGTCTTATTTTTGTAAAAAATTTATAAATTGGCTCTGGTCTGTGTCAACTCATGTAGTTGCCTATAACAAATTATTAATAAAAATAAAGACAAAATCTCATCTTAAAAAAAAAAAAAAAAAAAAAAAAAAGAACTTTAGTAAATTTTGAGTATAAGGTTATAAAGTGTTAGTAAGTATGATATATATTAATTTTGCTTTGAACTGAAGTTCTAAAAATTATTTTTTAAATTTTTTAAAATTTTTTATTATAAAATATAAAGTATTTTTTATATAATTTGCTTGTTTTTTTACTTTTACTAATAATTTTTTTAATTTATTATTTTTATTAGATATTAGTTTTAATATTTTTATTACTATATTTTAGATTTTTTTTATTTCTCTTAATATAAATTTCTTAGTTTTTAAATTAATTTTTTAAACAAAATTTAGGTATTATGAATTTCATTATATTTATTTATTTATTTATTTGTTTTAATATTAAGATGACCACTTTGGTCTATTAACTTTTTATTAATAACTTGTTTGGTAATATGATTTTATAAATTATTACAGAAGAGTGTACAATTGGCTATATATATAACTTTTTTATTTTATCTATTTAAGAGTTCACTCAAAGGTTTTCTACCAATTGCTATACATAACACCTCTGCTTGGGTGTTCTACTTTAAACTCTCTGAATCTACAATCTGTGTTAACATCACTAGATTATACTCAGATGTCCAGATCAATATCTTAATCTTAGGACTATTTTATTCTTGAAGTAAACTCTCAAAGCCTTCTGTACTTATTTTATAACTAATCTAGATATTATTATAATAAAATTAATACTTGCAGTTAAAGTTATATTTTCAACTACTATGTCCTTGTAGAGTTCATTCAAACTTTATTATCAACTTTATAGCATAACCTCAGTACTTTAGTATAGTTTATTAATATATTAAATTAGTCTAATATTCTTGTTTTCTAATTTATTCTAGTAACCTAATTGGTAATATCTCCAAGCCTTTTTCAACTTGGAGGTTCTTGCCCATTTAGGTACTATAACCTTGGTATCTATTTTTTTGGACTAGTTTTTATAGTAGTACTATTAAAGATCTGAATACCTCTTTGTTTAATTTTTTTAAATAGACTTGTTACTTAATTTTGATGAATTTATATAGCCACAAAGACTTATTTAGTGTTTGCACTATCTAATTATTATTTTGCATTCTTCTGTATAATTATACAGATGTCTTATAACCTGCCAGTTATGCTAGTATGATCACTATTACAGATATTCTAATTCAATCATTAGTAATAGTTGTTATATTACAAATATTATATAAATAATTATCCAAATTTTTACTATTGATAGGATTTGAATATCCAACCTACTACTTAAAAGGTTGACAACTTGACCACTTTACTAGATTGCTACATTTTATTTATTTATTTTAGTTATATGTTTTTTGATAATCTTTTTTAAAAAATTAGCTTTAACAATATTATACAACCTAGTTTATTTAATTTAATAAATTACTATTATAAGCCTTTATCTAGAATTTTTGACAATATGTTTTTTATTTTTTTTTAATTTTGTTTTAATTTATTTTCTTTATAGAATAAAAAAATGTAATTTTACTTATTAATATTCTTTGATAAATAAGGTTTTTGTTTTTTATAAAAGTTTTTGCTTAAATATTACTTTACAATTTTATTTTTAAAAAGATTTAATAACAAATTAAAATTATTAAACTTTGTTTAAAATTCTTTAAGCAAGTTATTAACTTAGCATTTGTATTATCAATAGAATGTTACACTTGATATATATAGTTCTTAAGTCTATTACTTATAAATAGGTCTAATACATTCTAAGTCTTTCTTTTATTTTTAATGTAGTTTCTTTATTACTTATTTTTACAACTAAATTCTTTGTTACTTTTAGTAAACTTATATTAAACAAAAAATACTGGCTTGTTTAGTAACAAAATCTAGACACAATTTTAAACAAAAAATTTTATGAATAAAGAAAACTATAAATTATCAAGTTACTCAAATACATATTGACATAATGAGTCAGGTTATATACTATTACAAGAAAGTTTATTAACGTACAATAATGTACTGCCTTGTAACTTTATTTACAAATAGATCAATTATGTTAAAATTTATATGAATTTAGTAAAATTCAATTTTTGAAAAAATTATAAAATAGATCTTTTTAATAAAAAACATTTTATATGATTAGTAACAACTCTAAGCATTGTCTTTTGTTTTATGTTAAAATCTGGTGATTTTCTAATTCATAAATATATAAATAATAAACTAATTAAAATTATTTATAGTAGTTTACAAAATAGTGTAAACTAATGAATTTTATAATTATATTAGTTAAAACTTTTATTAATTATATAATTAATCAGTATATCAGTTTACAAAAAAATTGTACCTTTATAATTTTCATAATTACAATAGTAATGAATTTTAAAAATTATTTAGTATAAACAATTTGCTAATAAATTAACATTTTTAAAGACAAAATGCAAACTTTATTTATTAAAAATAGGTACAAAGTATATAAGATATAGTTATAAGCAAGTGAAATAATATGTGTAATTCTTAACATATTATTAAATAATCAATTTTTGTGACATTGTATAGTATTCTGAAAAATACTTTTAAAGATACATATTGTAAGTAGTATAATAGTAATATCAAAAACTCATTAAAGCAGATAATTAGTATAGCACAATAATGAATTAATGACTATGTTGATTATCTATTTAACTAGCAATATATACTATATTTACAGTATCAGCTTAATAATAAATATTGTTATGTTTGGAAACTGTAACTTGGTTGCTCCACAATCTAAAATCTCATATAACATATAATAGGTAACTTTTGTATTAGATATGGCTGATGAGTAATTAAGACTTTCAGTTACTTGAGGTCAATAAGGTCTAACAAGGTAGATCACATGATCAAAAACTTGAATGAACAGTAATATTTATAGATTTTATAAGGTTTATACTAAGTATAGTGTTAGTGTTTTATTATAATTGATACAATATATTTTGGAATTGTTATTTAATAAAGCAAATGAGATCTTCTCTTTTCTCAAGACAATAATACCCTTTATTTTTAATAAAATTTTAATTATAACTTATTTAATTACATAAAATTCACTTCTACCTTTTCTTTATTTAATTCAACTCTTCCAATTTATCTACTTAAACCTTTCTAATTATTAAATCCCGCTTCGCCATTATATCCCCCTTCCTTGATATATTTAATAAATCGCATTAATGCAATTGATTGCACATCACGTTATTGGGTCTAACAATATCAGGAGAATCAGCAGGATCAAGTATAAACATTATAACCAGTATAATAAGTATAGACATTATAATTAGTATATACGGGATAATGAATATAAGTGCTATATCACGAACAGAGTGTATAACGTGCCTTATATAAAAAAAAGTATATAATAAAGGCTTCGAGCCCTACGAAGAAAACATTCGTTGTTCGTGATCCATATAAAATTTGCCTCCTAATAATAATAACTTGCTTTCACTATAATAATACCTACAACCATAAACTATCCACTCGCCAAATATAACACACTCTTTTGACTAAGCCGACTTGTAGGTTACACGACGTGTCCGAGTGAGAAGTGACTTAAGGTCGTTAATACCAGAAACGAATGCCTCTGTAAGCAAAATCTTGGAATTGATTGGTCCGTGTGACTTATTAATCATTCAATATTTATTTTTCATACTTTATATTACATCCAAAATCTCGAAACCACAATCTAAATATTTAATTATTAGTAATCACATCAACAATCATTGTCAGACCAAAGTTTTAATTGTCACATTGCGTGATGTCAGTATTATGGCCTGTCAAGTTTTTGGATAACGGGATTTTGTGATAGAATCGTTAGAACCGAAAAATAGTCTAATTTCCCGCTACATGTTGATCTGCAGAGGTCACAATAAATTCCTACTAGCGTTATCACGAAAATCGTGATATCATTCTTTTTTACAAACCGCAATAATCAACCGTTATAATCGTTAGTATAAAGGGTTTTAAAATATGATCTTTTTATTTATAGCGCTTTGTAAAAAGGTTAACACCTCGAATTTGTATTAACAGCAGGAAATTTCAGAAATTCTAAACTCTATTGACGATATTTTTATTGCGGTTTGCAAAAGGTGTGACTTCTATAAATCATCGTATAATGTAAAATCACGAGAAATTGGACGATTTTTCGATTCTAAGAAATTACACAGATTTCCGGAATATAAGATTGATAGAAAATCTAGATTCATCGAAATTTTTCACTACCGTTATCGCGAAAATCGTTGGGTCCTACCTTTTAGAAACCGCTATCATATTTCTTTGAAATTGATAAAATTCTCAAAATCGATAGAATTTCCGATTCCAACATGATATTATGATCTGAAGAGGTTAAATATTTTTGCAAAGCGCAATCATTGAATTTTTTTTACGGAGAACAACGATCGTCATTTATCTCATTATACGAACGAGATCCCAACATTATCTGAAATTAGTATAGCATTAATAGATCTTTCACTTTATTCCATTCCATTCCAACCCAAATTGAGAAGTTATTATTAAATTAGAAATGCCTTTTTTTTATAGATTAATTTACAACTTTTATAATACGAAATATTAAATAATAAATACACTAAGACATGGAATATATTAATTTATATAGTTTTTGTGCACTGTATATATGTTTTTTTTTCTTAAGTATATGTTATTAACCTGTAATATTCACGGCAGTTATTATAGATATAATGCTTGTAATAAATATTTTTCTTTAGAACTTTTATATTTCTAGTTAAAATTATGCTTTTAATATATGCTTAAACAACTCTAAAGAGTTATTTCTGAGAAAATTTGGACCGATTTCTATAATAGAAGAATTGGGCAAGAATCTTTTAAATATGTTAAAGTTAATACTAGATCATCTTTTTTTTTTTTTTAAAAAAAAAAAATAAGTTTAATAATTTAATACTTACCGTACAGTCGAAAAGTAAAGCACTACCATTTCCAACTAACCAAGGAAGATTACCGAGCAGATATTTAAATTCCACAGAGTAAATAATGATTGACTATTATATAGTGTTAATTTTTTTAATTTAAATAAAATGAAAAAGCAACAAAAAATTATTTAATACATACAAGACAAAAAGTGATATTGCCTAATGCGCAATAACAAAACATGGCCAAAGATAACCCTTCAGTCGATTGTGCTTTATAATTTTTAATAACTTGTGGAATTCTTGATACAACTGTTGCAGCATACATTAAATATTTATATATGATAAATAGGTAACACATTAAAATTAAAGAACATAATAAAAGAAACTAAGTTACAATAACACGTGGCACTAGACCATCCAAAAATCTGCGGCAATAATTTCAATTCTAGATCAGTATTTTGATTATATTTTGTCTCTGTTTGATAAGAGATAAGATAAGCAATACCACCAATCAAACAGATAACAAAGAGCCCGGCAAGAGTTTTCAAAAATGGGTTAAATCTTGATTGACGTATGGGCATTTGTGATTCTACGTTTGAATCGTCTGGTTTAATAAATTCACCAGTAGATTCATCAGATATATTATTAGATTCGTTGGATTTATTTTCAGATTCATCAGAATTATTCTCAAATTCGTCGGATTTATTATCAGGTTCGTCAACATCTGGTGTTTTACGGTAACAGTAGTAGTAGGTTTGCAATAATAAAGAGGTATCGATCAATACATTATAGAGCGCGATGAGAATCTATAATTAAAAGGCTCACATTACTATTATGTATTAATATAGAGTTTCAGTATAGTACAGTACATGTAAATTCACGTAAATTTAAGTAACATGGATTTCGTGTAAATTTCACGTGATATTTGTGAAAATTTTAGCCAACATTATTGAACTCCAATATATAACATATGATCCAACCAATCACATAGAATCTTATAACCGTATGATCACGTTGCTTACAAATTACGAAAACCATCTTACCGAACTTATATAGGATTACACAAAATTACGCAAAATTACGGTAATTTTGCAACCCCAATACGATAGATATATGCAAATTAAGCATTAAATAGACATACGGACCGAGGCCAGGCCTCACTCTTAAAAAAAAAAATAAATAAATAAAATTTAAATACGACTTACCACCGTTAGTAACAAGTTTTGTAAAATAGCACCGATCAAATCAAGCAATTCTCCCATAATCCATATATATATTAAAGCTAATGATACTGAACTGCCAGATTTTCGTTTATAATTTTCATAAAGTTGGCTGTAGAAAATTAAGAATTATTATGATATCCTTTACAACCTCGATGCGAAAGTAATAAAGGATGACTTACGGAATTGTAACACAGATCCAACAAGCTAGAGAAATGAAACCAACTACTCTTGAATAAATTATATTTTCTGAATCAGCCATTTATAATTAATTTTAAATTTTATATTAAAGTATAAAAATAAGAAAATTTTAATAATAATTCTATTGATTTCAAGAAAATTATTCAAAGTTTTTACTAAAGTTTCTTTGACCAGTTTAGTATTTTATACATTCTTAACAGCTATTAAAAAAATAAATTTACAATCCACTGGTTATTGCTAATATTCCTGGTATTCATTTTGTTTGCTAAATGTCTAGACATTCAACGTCAAATTAATACAGCGAAATATTTTAATTAGATTGGTCATTCATATAAAATATATGCCGACGAATCATTAAATTTACAGCATAATATTAGCAAAAATTAATAAAGGATTTATTTTATCTGCCCTTATTATGATTTTGTACGTAGTTTCAAGTTTCTTATTATAATTGTGTTATATTAACCTATGCATGTGCATTAATTTGGGTATGTTTCTTTATTTTATTTCCAAGTTGGTGCATCCATTATATTCTCTGACCCATTGATATCCTCGTAATTGAAAGATTCATATGGTGCAAGATACCCAAAACCGTAGCTTTACCATTTCTGGATTTTTGTAAAAAAAAATGAATTGCTTTATTGTCTACATAAGACTATAAAGTTAAAAAGACAATTTCAAAAGGAAAAAAATAATAATCGGCAATGTATTTTTTTTATCGATTAGTGCATTGCATTGAATTGAATTATTCAGTGGCATTAGACAATTTGTACCATTCGCGATTATAATAATTATTTTAGGACTAATTTCGGCGTTACCAGACTTATCGTTATGAAATTTCTAGATACAGTCAGACCCCTCCCTAAATGCATGACATAAGTCCGTACCCATTGTAGGACTTATAGATAAATGCACGTTCTGTATTCTGTAAGTGCACGCTAATTATCTGGCCCACTTTTAAAAACTCTATCTATAAATACATCCACGTGGTTATTAGCCAAACAAATTCATTATTTCTAGGCTTTAAAGCCGTAATAACAGTCACCTTGTGATTTTATTAGCGTCTCTAAATGCACGCTCTAGAGCTGGTCCCAACGACATGCATTTAGGGAGGTCTGACTGTATTTATCTAATGACATAAGGTTTAACACACTATTTTAGATGTGAAAGCATACTGCATATGCAATGGAATTTTCTTCGATAAATTTTATTATTTAATTACTTTATTTAGAAATGAAGCTTTTAAATCAATTCAACCGACAAAATATACGTAGTCCCCCTGCAGCCGGGAGTTATAAATATAGTAGTAAAATAAATATGCAATAATTTTTCTTTTTTAGATTCTGTCAAATAATACGTTTGTATATTGGAAATATGCCGATCCAAAAACGGTTTACTGCTCTGGATGCTTGTCAAAGCCTGAAGAATAGAGCGAGCATATCGAAAGTTCAGATGATGAAATTAAAAGCAATTCTTATATGCAGATAAATAGCAAAGGAACTGTCAAATGCCTTCCCAAAACATTGATTTTATGTACACTAGCAAATTATTAGACACAGAGTATTAAGTGTAATTTTATAATATTACACCATTTTACTTGATTAAAACTGATTATCCTACTGTATATTAGCAGCTTTATAGGTCAACCTCACGGTAAGTATCATTAAACTTACTGCATTTATAATTAAAATTTTATTAATTATTTACATTGGCATTTAGACTTCATAGACAGAAATTTGTCTGATTGGCTAATAACTGCAGTTTAATTTTACATTATTTATATAGTTTAGTGCTTTTTTTAAAAAAACAAAACCAACCATAACAAAGTAAAAAGACTATATAGAAGGTTTCATTAGAGCTGTAGGACGCCACAGTCAAAAATAAGACCTAATTCTCGTCCGTCTATAAACACAATTTTTTTAAAAAATAATTCAAAATTTTGTCTATGAAACTATATTCTGCGCACTATTAATTTTTTTTTTTTTGCAAAATATTGGTATAATATATATCTTTCTTTGATCGTTGCCTAACTATAACATAAAGTTTTATGACTTTAAAAATATTGCACATATTAGTTTGTTTTGATTAGTGAAAAACTACAGGCACAGCATTTGTCTTAGCTTATTGGCACAACATCCGCCAGAGTTAAGGTTAGAGTTAATGTTAGGATAAGTGTATTTTAGTAATGCCGACCATTGTTGTGTCTGTAGCAATTTCCACATGTGATTACACCTATTTAGTCGGCAGCCAATCAGTTTTGATTTTTATCTCAGCGTATAACACTACTGCAACTCATTTAGATATAATATTTAAGGTTAAATAATTTATCAGCTATAACCAGTTATTTAACTATATGACTGATAGCGACTGATGACTAGAGATGGAAAAATTGAGAATTTTTGAACTTTGTTAATATTGTAAATTGGGGAGCGGATAACGTTGCACGGTTTAGCTCCAATAGTTAACGTGGTATAGATAATAATAATCTATTTTACTATCGGTTAGGGCAAGTACAAGCTATGTGGGGCGTTAATCTATTTATAATAAGTTCAATGGTGGTTTAATCGGATGAAGTTGGTAAATTAAGGGCGAGTCGGTTATAATCTAATTGTAATAAGAGGACGTTAATCTTAAACGTACTATAATAAAGCTTAATAACTTAACGGTGATCTAAGCTTTGATCAATATAATACTAATAACTAATCGCTCTATCTAACTGTTTCAATTAATATCCTATCGTACGTTGTCCTTCGTGAAGTATCTCATTGTATGAACTATCCATATACGGCTCTTAGTTACTCAGGGAAAGGTCTATTCGGCTTCAATGCTTACTTTCTTTATGTTAAATAAGAGACCCAGCGTATATGCTTATTAGTTAATTAAAAAATAATAACGAACTATGGTGAGGAAACGATTATTTGTCAGATTTAAAGTAATTTAATATTTGGGATGCTAAAGGAGTTTAGATGTGAAGTAGTATGATTTATTTAATAAACTTTTATTGATAACAATTGATAACTAATTACAAACTACTGTTTAGGGAAGGTTAAGAGGACCTATATTTATACCTTTTTTTATTCTAATAGAGCCAACCTTATTATTCTTTTATTCATTAAGTTTTTACAATGTATTATTAGACCCAATAACATGATGTAAATAAATTACTGGTTATTATCAATTCTTTGATATGAACATCCTAGCAATTAATTACATTAACAAATTTATTAAATATATAAAGAAAGGAGAAGATAATGATAAAAAGGATTGATAATTTTAAGGATTTAGTTAGATAAATTAGAGGAATCAGATTAGATAAAGAAAATGAAGAAGTGAGATTTATTTAACAAAATAAGTTTTAAATAGAATTTATTATAAATAAAAGGTATTATCATTTTAAAAAAGATATGTCTTATTTGTTGTATTAAAAATAAATCACAATATTATACATTGTTCTTAATAAAATACACTAACATTATACCCACTATTAAAGGTAAAGTAATCATATCAAAAATCTGCAAAATGATTATCATAGTAGTTTACTTATCTAATTAGTAATGTTTATGAAGATCTACTTATAATATATGTGTCTGGCTTTAAAAAAATCATATGACAGTATACAAACCTTTATATGAAATTTCATCACCTCTTTCAATTAAAGAAAGGTTGATTTAGATCAATCTATTTATATTACAATAACTGAGAATGGATGTTAACTTCACTTTATCCTACTTGGATTAAGTATAAGGTAATGTCAAGAGATGAGATTATAATAATCATATTAGATTCTGGTCCTAAGATAAACAGTATTAATATTTTTCATATCAGTTCTATAATGACAATAAGAAATACTAAAGTAATAAAAATTATGTCTATAAAAAAGTTAAAGCTTAAAACAAAAAAGGTTAAAATTTAATAAAAAAAAAAGAAGTGTTATGGTCTTGTATATATTTTTTTCACTAACAAATAGAATAGAAATTTTTATTTTTTGAAGAGATAGTTCAGAATTATATATATATATATATATATATATTTTTTTTTTTTAACCTTAAGCAGTTATGCTAGTACTTTATTAAGATTCTTGAAACTATATTTTATACAATTACATAGAATTTCCCAACATTCAAGTCTAGCATCACTTGGCCACCCTAATAGTACCTAAGTGCAACCTGCTGCACTATTCTAGTTAAAAATAGACTGCTCATCTAACTACTTAAAGCCATACCAGAAGGGTCTTCCTCCTCTTGTGACAAGCATATTTATTGTCTTCAAGGCTTCTTTCTTGCTTGGTCTGCCTTTTCTGCTTTCTTTTCCTTTTCTTCTTCTTTTGCTTGTTTATCTTTTCTTATTCTCTTCTTTGTTTCTTTTCTTGCACAAGCACCTTTTTTTATTTTATTCGTTATATTGCTTTCTTTCTCCCAGGCTTGTATTCTCTCACATTGCACTCTCCATATTTGGTCATAGAAATATTCCATACTGTTCTTGTGGTTATGTCTATGCACTTCTGTGTTGCTTGTTTGCTTAGGAGTCGCTCCAATCTTTTCTCTACTTTTGATGTTGTGAGTCTCTTTATCAGCACTTCTCTGTTTGTGATTTCTTCTGCTTCTGTTTTTTCAAATAATGTCTTATAAAGAATTTGTGGTGGTACTTTGTTTTTTCCTCTTCTTTGAGTCTATTACATGCTGTCACTGTTGCAACTTTCTGAATTCGCTTCTACAGACTCTTTTGTTCACAACAACTTGCTAAGTATGCCTGAGTCTCTTTTTTTCCAGTTTTACATACTTGATACTCTGTTGTTGTGTATACTTCTGGTCTTCTTCTGTTTAGCTCCTCAAGTATTGGTAGACTATTCATTATGCACTTGATTGCTATAGCTCTCCTTGTGCTGAGTTTTCTCGATGTACAATGCACTCCTTTTGTTCTGTTCATTTCTTTCCAAAAGCTTGAC